GGGGTGGCACCATACTATAGACACTTATAGCGTCATAAAGCAGCACATACCAACATTAGTCACCGGCTTCTAAAATAGCACCCAGGTCTCAAATGTGATTTTATCTTTAAAAATGTCTTTAATGTGATTGTGGTATTGATGGCTTGCAAATATATGATTAATGTGTTGGTTAATGACATTATCAATTCTTAGTCCCTTGTGCATGTAGGCCACAATTCATATTCAATTTTGCTATCTAAAGAATATTTTAATGCAATCCCTGCCTATAGTCGAATTTATTAGTAGCACTCATGCCAAATAGTTTGAAGTAAAAGTGTTTGGATGAAATGATATCTTAAGGCTCAAGGGATCATGGTTCATTGTCATTCCTCCTCGCGAGATCAAATCCCTCCTTTTCCCTAAATGTAGAGTTTACACAACTTGAAATTACAACGTAACTCTTCATTCAAAAACATAATGATAGTTGGTATCCATATGTTTTTTTGGAAAACCCATATTTGGCAAGCATTTATTGCTTGTCAATAAAAAATATTTTGTAAATTTCATAAGAGTGGGGCAGTTGAGTCGATTTTCAAGGAAAATGGTGAAAAAAAATCAGAGATAGGAGAAAAAACCTAAAGTGGAAGAGGGAGCGGTGAACGTACAATCTTTTTGAGTAGGAAATAAATAAATAAATCATGTTCTAGAAAAAAGGCTTTCAAACTTTTTTTAAATTCGTTCAGAAAGCGGCAGGTAGAAAAAGCCAAACATGACAAGAATAATATACAAAAGAGAAAAGAGAAATAGGAAATAGGAAACAAAAACCAAAAATAAACGGTCAAAATAAAAAGAGACCTGTCACAAAAGAAAATTGGGCGAACCATGGGGAAAAAAGCAAAAACCGTGCTCTTGTTAGCTACTAAGAATCTGCTAGCTTAAAAAACCCGACCCTATGGATTGGCCCATGTAGGTTGCACGGGGGCGAGTAGTGAATATTGCTTGACCCATATATAGCAATTGCACAACATGCAATTTATGTGTATACCAACGGTGCTCCTAGCGTGGCAAAATGCGCTGGCATGTTCGTGGTATGTTTTTTTTTTCCTTTTGCAGGGTTGGTTTATATAGTTCTTATCTTATACACTTTTGATTTTTCCTCTGGCTTTTATTATTTTATTTAGGAATTTCCCTTTTTTGGTCACTTTCAAATATTTTTTTTCCTTATTCAAGTTACTTTCATATATTTTCCACGTTTTTTATTTCCTCTTTTTTGAAGAAATAGTTTCTAAATAATATATTGGTATTTTTTATAATTTCACAAATATATTTGTTTAAAAAACAAATGCATGAACATTTTTCTTTCACAAAAAAATAATCTCATGAACATTGATTTCTAAAGACATGAACACTTTTTAATTGTATGAACATTTTTTAAATATGTGAATGTTTTTAGGAAATATGTAATTTATTTATATACATGAACTTTTCAAAAAGTGTAAACATGTTTCTAAAAGCATTGAAATATTATAAATTTAATGAATATTGTCAAAAAATATGTAAATTTTTCAAATGCAATAATATTTTCTAGAATAGGTAAAAAAAATCTAAACATCATGAATATTACGAAAATACTTAAAAATAACAAAAGATATTTTCTAAAATAAATTTAAATAAGGAAAATAAAAGGGAGAGCTTAGTAAAAGAAATAAATTATGGTCAACCCGGGGGAGAGCCCGTTCGGTTGCTTGACCCCAACGGCTAATGCGCTAAGGCAACAGGGTGGCACAGTGCTATAGGGGACTTATAGCGTCATATAGCAGCACACACCAATTTTAGTCATAAGCTTCTATAGGAGCACCTGGATCTCAAATGTGACTTTATTAAAAAAAGGCCTTTAATTTATTTTGGTATTGATGGCACATAAATATAGGATTAATGTGTGAATATTTTTTATAAATACATAATTTATTTAGCTGTATGAACCTTTTACAAAAGTGTGAATATTTCTTAAAAACATTAAAATATTTTTAAATATAATGGATACTGTTAAAAAATTATATTCATTTTTCAAAAGTGCGAGAATATTTTAGAAAATAGGTAAATACTTTTCGAAACATTATGCATTTTTTAAAAATATTTTAAAATCAACTAAAGACCTTTTTAAAAATAAACTGAAATAAGAAAAATACAAATGGAGAGCAAAGTAAAAG